GGGCGGCGGAGGAGGAGCCAGCGGGAAACGAAACTAGCGCCGCCGGCCGGGAAAGCGCCTGTCTACGGGGAAAAGCCCCGCAGGCAAGGGCTGCCCCTCGGAGGGGAGGGTTTTCTGCCTCCCCCCCTCCGCGCTTTAGTGGCACTGCAGTGGAGGGGCTTGCTCCCCGCGGGAATGGCTCTGTGCAAGCGAAACATAAGGTCCTGGCCTCGGGATCCGGTCTGCCCGACCCCCTCCAGCAAAAGACGGTCACATTCCCACGGACTCCTGTGGCTGAATCCTGGTGGTCTCCAAAAAAAACCCAAGAAGCGCAAACACACTCTGATGCTCTGGACTGGGCCAAAGAGACAAGCAAGCTGTAAACCAACTTGAACTGGTTTGCTGTGTTGCAGTGCCCAAGTAGCACTGAGCTGTCAGGGCATACTGGTAGCCTAAACCCGTTGTTCTGTTACTCCGTGCCTTGATAACAAGACTAACGGACTCAAATAATTTGGGAAGTAAAACGGACTTTTACAAGCCTGCAGTGTGTTCATAACTTTGTGATGGCCAATTTCAGCTTTCATCAGCTCAGGGGCTGGAACCAGAAGCTCTGCAAATAGCTGTAATTGGTTTCCTGTCAGCTGCTGTGAGTAATGTTGCCCAAAATGTGGATTTTGAGTTTTCAAAATATGTAAGTTGAAATGTAGGAGAACCTGCACCTCTGCAGAATCCTATTTCTCCCTTTCAATAGTTGGAAAACTGCCACTTAGAGATATCTAAAGTTAAGCTTCTGATGCATCTTCTGAAAGAATATACTCTACAAGCCAGTACACTCTACAAGAAATTCCTCAGAAACTTGGTGTTTTCCTCCAGTCAGCTCAAACATGCTGCCCAAATTACCTTCTGCTTAGCGTATCTGCAAGGAGAGGGGAGCAGTTGGTAGGCAGTATTGGTTAGCCAGAGATCAGCTATACTAGTTGGAAATTGCCCATGCTGAGGAAGCTGGTGGAAGGCTGGGCCAGAACAGGAGCTGGGAATGCAGCCTTGGAGGGTCTTCAGTACAGCCTCAGCAGCAGGTACAGAAAATAGCTTCTTCAGGTGCAACGTGTCCTTTTTCATACCTGAAAACTCCAGTGTCGTTCCACATCACTCAAACACATGGCTATAGCTCCTGGTTATGGATGGCAGAAGACAGTGGGCAAAACATGGTTCATTATCTAATAAGCCAATAGATGTTAATTTTAAGAACATAATAATATGCACTACTGAGACAGACTAGTGGCTCTTCTCGCCCAATTATTTTGTCTCCAGCACCGGAAGAAAGTCATGCTGTGCATAAGCCTGGCTTATCCATGGTCCCTTCCCGTAATCCTCATGCTTCTCCAGCGTCCACAGTCACCGGGTTAGGAATGTTAGACAGCACATCTTCACCTCTTCCTTTCAGCACCTATTTATGGTGCTGAAAAGCCATAAGCACCGGGGAAGATTATGAAGCGGTTCATCTTGAGGGCGCTCACAAGGCATGAGCGGGACAACCAGGGGATCCGGCCTAGCCAGCACGGATTCATGAGAGGCAGGTCCTGCTTGACCAACCTGATCTCCTTCTATGACCAGGTGACC